TGCACACGCTGTCCCCAGCTCCTCTAATCAGGCACAGCTGGAGCAGCCCCACACCATGCAGCCCTCAGGGCAGCGGCGGCAGGACCCGGCTCACTATGAGCCCGGCCCCGCAGTGGTCAGCAACTCCCCTCCCCTCGCTGCCGGCTGGGGTCCGCGGGCCGGACCTGCCCACCTCGCCTTACCGCTGCCCCGCCACCGCTGCCGTGGAGCATGGAGCAGGCACCTCAGGCCAGAGAAAATGGCTTGGTGGGCTGCACAGCGGCCCATGGGCCATATGTTGGACAAGCCTGGTGTAGAGCAACTAAGCTTATGTAACAGAGTGCACTGAAAGTTCTCTAAAGTTACTAAAACTACACTAAGTTCACGTATTTTCTAAGTTTGCAAAATGCTAAGTGTGGATTTGATAACAAGAAGCCTTTCCAGAAAGATAAGGCATAACATTAGATTAAGAAACAGCCTCCTGAAGCACAGTCCTGAGCAGATGTGGACTTGGAGGTTACACCTGTCGGTAGATGAACTAGTTAATGAGATAACCTGAAAGTAATTAGAAATAAGCAAATACAGAGTAAACAAAGAGCCCCATTACTTCATTGGGAAAGAGGGAATTATAAACATCCCTGTTGACTTTGCAGACAAAGATAGTTCTGTTAAGAAATTCACAAACAGCACTTTCCCATCATCCCACTACTGGGCAGCAGTTCCCCTGTTTAATGCTTCCTTACTTCACAACAGCACTGAAAGGAAAAACTCATTAGTGTTTATAAGGTAGATCCTATGGCAATGGGACTACATATTTATGATGCAGAAAATACTACAGTACTTATGCACTGCATCATTTCTTTCTCCCCTCAGGTCAGGGACACTCATTAGAAAGCCAGATATTAAGTATGCAAGCTTCAAAGGCATCTGTAATTTGGTTTTTGCTTGAAATTAAGAAATGTTTAATAGAATATTTAAAAGTTTTACTGATCTTGGCAATAAGTCTTTTTACTGTGTACACATGCTGAGGACATAAATTTTAAAATGTGTGAATGTTTTGAACTTGACCAAGTCAAGTAAACAAAAAAAATAAAAAGGAAAATGGTACTTAGGTATTACTACAAACAGTTATTTTACTGTAGCTTAGCAGCACTTTATATAAAGTGTAGCTATTTCTTTACCTTTTCTTTAACAATGCTACCAATAAATGACTCTCTCTTGTTATACTTAGGATTATTTTTCTGTAAAAACTTAAATTAGTAAATTAAAAAGTCTAGCCATCTTTGAGCTAGAGTTGAGGAGAAAGCAAGAGTATATTAATATGCACATCTCAGTAGAACATTCTGAATGGCTGATACAATGATCCTAGAGTTTTCCGAAGTCAAATGAGTGAACAACTCATTTCTTCAGTAACTCTCAGTTTATAAATGTTAGTGAGAAGTGCTTGGATACCTTATATTTAAATTAAAGTTTTAAATTAGTACTCAAGGTAAGAAGCCAAATAGTCTAATCAAGATCTGTCTCTTAAAATTTGACTTTTGTTAGAAGACACTCATTTTCTTTAAGCTAATGGAATTCCAATTAATTGGCTTTGTGATGTACAGTGAAATTACAGTGCGCACAGATTTTTTTTGTGTTATAAAAGTGACTAAATTACTTTAAAGTCCACATCTGAAGGAAGGTTCCAAAGAGAATAGAGCTAAACTGTTCTCAGTGGTGACAGATGACAGAACAAGGAACAAAAGTCTCAAGTTTCAGCAGGGAAGGTTTAGGTTAGTTCTTAGAAAGAATTGTCTCACTAGGAGGGTAGTAAAACAGTGGAACAGGTTACCCAGAGGAGTGGTGGAATCTCCATCATTGGAGGTTTTAAGACCTGGCTAGACAAAGCTTTGGCTGGGATGACGTAGTGGGGGACGGTCCTGCCTTGAGCGGGGGATTGGACTAGATGACCTCCTGAGGTCCCTTCCAACCCTAGTTTTCTATGGTTTTCTTACGTCGATTAAATGCAGCCAACACTGAGCATGACTCTTAACACATGGGCCACACTGGGCAAACATGATGGGAACCTACCACAAGAATAGGTAAATGCAACCCATCTGAATAAGACGTGGTAGTGCCCATTACGCACAATCTCCCTCACCCCCCCTCGGTGATGGGGACTGCACATAATGGGCACTACCACGAGCCATAATAGTGCATACCCAGACTCGCTCTGTCAGCCCCTCTCTCAGTCTGGTGCATGATTAGTGTGGCCCCACCCTCCAGGAGATGGAGCCAGACCAGGTTGCCACGTGCCTCATCTACCTATATGTTTTTGGAGCATTCCAGGACTTGTGACAAAAACACCCACTTCCAGTCAGGAGTGGGGGCTAATTAACACATGGATCCTTTGTGGGCTAATTAACACATGGAGCCTTTGTGGAGAATACACATATATTGAGCTGTACTGAGCTGTGGGGTCACTGTGGCTTGAAATGCTGTTGACTCTGGAGGGGCTCAGCCTAATGAATGATGCAATACACCAGGGCTTTTCAAGATTTTTTAAGGAGTATATCCCTCCTGGTGGCTACCCCTTCCAGATGTGGAGTGGGGGGAGGTCCCCTGGGGGCCAGTTAATGAGCAGGGGGTGGTCCCCCAGTGGCTAAACACAAAGTGTACCCCTTGGAGTCTTCCCAAGTACCCCCAGGGGTACACATACCCCCAGTTAACAACCCCTGTGGTACATCATGAGCCTTTGGCTTTGGACTGCTACCATGCATATGGAACTGTAAAGTTACAGGAGTTAGAGTGTGTGCACAAAAAAAAAAGTTTGCAGTATATAAGCAGGTGCCAAAGTGCCGCTCAGAAGTGTAGTTATAGAGTATCTGTGCTAAAATTCTCAGCAGTTTCTAGGAAAAAAAAGATAACATGCGCCAATTCTGGATAAAGAAAGTACATGGGTATTATATGCAAACTGCTACAGCCATATTTAATTTTAAGGTTATTGTCTTAAATTTTGTCCCTCACTTCCATGTGATCAGAGGGCACATCCAGACAAGCGTGCATGTGTGGTTTGCAGTGCGTCAAAACTGTTTGAGGTGCCACAAACTGCATGTAGTTCATGTGCAGCCATTCATCACACTACAAATTTCCAGTGCAGCACCAAAATTTGATACCAGGAACTCCTGGTATCAAGAAAAAAAAGCTCCAAAAATAGTGGTGCGGCACATCCTCCAGGAGTGTGCGCCAGAACAACTGGAGAATGAATCCTCCAGGGAGATGCTCTGGCTGCCAGCCTGAGCTCTGCTGCTTTAGGTGACTCCCAACTTCTCCAGCATACCAGGAGCCAAGAGAAATGGAAAAACGTCTGTTTCCCCAGAGCAGGACATTTTACCCAGCAGCGTACACCACGTGCAGGAGTGTATGCAGTGGCAAAAAGCAACTGCACAAATTTGTGCCAATGCTATTTGTGCCACAGCAAATGCATGCAATGCTATTTGCACCATAGAAATTCTATTTGCACCACAGGAAATGCATGCCCCTGCATTTGGGGATGTGCTCAAACAGGGCAGAGTCTAACAGTAAGGAGAGGGGGAAGGAACTGCCAGGGAAAAAAGTTGAGTGGCAGCAGAAAGCAAAGGGCTACCTAGCCCCTAGGATTTTTTCCCTGCTGTAGCAGTGGGAGGAGGACAAATTTAAGGTAAACCGCAAATTAGATTCTACACCTGGAAAACTGTAACAAATGTATACATTTTCCACATAAAGAACCTAATTAATCAGGGTCATCTACTATTTGAGTAAATACACTACTTAAATGGCATTTGGCCAAGTAATACTAATTACACATTGAGAAACTTAAACCTATTAATAGAAAAAATATTTCAGAGGGAGACCACCAGTGGAAATAAGAGACATTATCTTGCAATATCTGCAATCAAGACATTGAAGCATTATGCTAGTAAGTGACAGCATGATGAGTATTAAAAATGAAATAAACAGGAGTGTAACTGGATCAAATCCCCTTTACTCCTCAAACTGGTGGTAACTGATCCCTCTTGTTGGGTCATTTGGAAGGTAATTATTACCCCTTCAATTCTCTAAGATGCCCTCAGATTTGGACTATAAACTGATGTCATTAAGGCACTGATCTCCTCTCTAGTAACACGCTAAATTAAAAGGTTTCTATAAATTTGTTAAGTTACCTTTAGAAATACAATTCAGTCTAGAATTCATTAATTATCTAAGACTAATCTTGCACTATTTTGGAACTGCATCTTTACTACAGAATTAAGGTCTTGCTTGTCTACAGTTACACAACAGTAATAGGACTACATTAATTTTACCCAGTACTCTGTGAATACAGTGGCTGAAGTCTTAAAGTACTAAGCTGAATAGCTTACTTATAAAGGCAAAGCTACTACAAAAACACTGGCATTACTTCGGAAGGTCTTTTTGTTAGAGAGTTCAAGTGAAATTGGCAAGCCAATTTTTATTTTGCAAAAATTACTGTGAGGCTGAGCTGCTAACTTGAGAGTCCAAGGTAATGTCAGATAGGGATTACATGCAATTGGTTTATATTTTCTCTCCAAAGAAAGGAGAGAAGTTTTATTTGGGGAAAAAATGTATCTGGGTGTGAATGCCTTGGATAACAAATGAGGAACAAACACATACACACCTAAAACTAAGATCTTGGAACATGACTTCTTTTTATAGAATGCTCACATATTTGAATTACGAATACAATTAGAAAAAAAAATGTTTCTCCCTTACTTATGTGAAGGCTGTATTTCTGTCAAGTTTACTATATACATTTCTATGCTTTCTGTCATGATACCAAGAACTAAAACATGGATAAAAGCCTTACAGTTTAGTCTAACAGATCAAGAATAATGTGACTTAATTACACTCATTTCATTCTAGCACAGGATCTGGTAAACAGAAACAGCCAGTGGCAACTGGATTCTTGACCCAGAAACCACCTAATTCCTTTTACTAGTTTTTAACACAAACCTTTATAGTATCTGGTGCTTTGAGATACATACCAGCAGTCCTCTTCATCATTGCAATTCCCTAGTTCTAGCACTTCCACTTCATCCAGAGCAGTATCATTCAAGAGGTCTCCTAGATCATCACTCTTCTCATTGGGACTCTCTTCACTTGGTTTAACTGATGAATCAATACTTGCTGTGATCAGGTCTTCCCCAAGCTCCATACTGCTACTCCTATCCATGCTTGAAGGACAGCTAACATTTACATCATCATACTGCATTTCCGTATTATTTGTGTGTTCTGAATTAGGAGACACTTTTTCAGTAGCAGTATTGTTGCAGTACTGCATTTGAGAAATCATCTTTTTCTTTAAACAATTACTCTCTTCCTCCTGTGTTCTTATTTTGTTTAGCTTGCTGTGTAGATCTGCCATTATTTGTAATTCGTGCTTTTCAGTGATAGCGTTGATGCTATTATTAATTTCCATTCCATTTAGACCTGGATCATGGTTCTCCACGCCACTGTCAATCTGGCTCTGAGCATTTGTGCCTAGCACACTTCTACGGCTTCTAGTTCTTAACTGCTGATTTTGGATCTCCAGTCTCCTCACTAGTTCCTGCAGCTTTCGCACCTCCTCCAGCTCTGGACCCACCTGATCAGCACCCGGTTCTGTGTCAGGACCCATAGCAGAATTCTCTGTTGAATCCTGCCCCAGGTCAGGTTCCAGAGCATGATCTTGCTGTATGACAGGGGCACTGCCAGGAACTACCATCTTCAAGAACATACAATTTCACTCTATGAAATAAAAAATACATGAGATTAAGGGCAAGAGTATGCATACAATTTTAAATAAACCACAGCTTTAGACTGGCGCACACACAAACAACCTTTGGCACGTTAAGAGCTTGAACAGCAACAATAATCTGAGTTTGAATTTAAAGGGTATGTGCTACTGATTATATGAATCAGTTTGAAAAGTTATAAATGTAAAAAACATATATATGTACACAGCATAATTTTGGCTTTAGAGCACTTTTTGAACTGAAATTCCAGTTATAAACTGTAATCTTAGGTTTATGTAACTGGATAAGTTGCATCAGAAGAGATGCAGAAACCTCTTATTTCCATTGTTTCCTTCCGGCATATAATAAAATTAGCTTTTTTAAAATAAATGATTAATGGAACACTCCTATCTTTGCAAGCCATGTAAAGTGAGCTTCAAGAAGGATGTGGACAAGCTCGAAAGGGTGCAAAGAAGGGCCACCCGTATAATCAAGGGCCTGGGGGATAAGCCTTACAATGAGAAACTTCAGGATCCGGGTTTGTTCCGTCTGGGTAAAAGAATGCTGAGGGGTGACTTGATAACCACCTATAAATATGTGAAGGGAGACCAGCAGGATCTGGGAGAGAAACTTTTCAGAAAAGCACTCCCTGGGAGGACAAGGACCAATGGGCACGAGCTAGTTTAGGCTAGATATACGGAAAAACTCTCTCTCTGTATGGGTAACAAGAATCTAGAACACACTCCCAGAAGAGATGGTACAGTCGCCATCCCTGGTGGTGTTCAAGAAGAGGCTGGACAAGCACCTCATTGAGCTAGTTTGAGCCCAATTACTTCATGGCCATGGCACGGAACTGGACTTGATGATCTTACATGCCTCTTCTCGTCTTTCTTTCTATGATTCTGAGTCTAACCTGTGCACTAGAAGTAGATTAACAGCAGACATGCTTCAGAAAAAGTTCAAATGTTTCTTCTCAAACTGGTTACTCAGTGCAAACATTATGCTAGAAATTAGATTAAACCAGTCTCCTTATATGTGGTTGGGTACAATAGTTCAACTTCCACCTGTTTACATGTGACTACATTGAAAAGGCATTGACTGAAGGAAGCCAGGAAGCAGAGCAACTGAACTGCTACTTTCAGACAATGAAAACATTGAAGACTTGGTAAAAGCTTTGCCTCAATTATAAAATTAACGCTAGAAGCTCAAAAAAATACCCAGAAAACATTTCTCTGGACTTTGGAAGAAGGTGGTAGATTAGTGGCAATACAACTGCAGCAGCAGTTATGGTGGAACACATGAGAGTGATTACATGCAGCGCTTTCACTGGAATGCTTTTGCTGTTGCAGTTGAAAAAGTTGAGCCAAGATCTCTGCTGCAAACACAGCAAAGAATGAAATATAACAAACCTCAGATTATAGACTGGCATGTTTCAGAAAGAAAATCTCTCTGTGGTCCTCTGGGGTTAAGTGCTCCTGTTTATCTTGTGGCTGTGTTGACCAAAAGAAGGGTGTGTACAGAACCACCTCTCTGAGAGCCCTAAACTGCCCACGTATACAGATTTCTGAAAACATATGGAGTGATGCTTGAGCAGAATGCACATCTTCCATCATTTCTAGCAGTTTCTCGTTTTAAAATTATTCATAACTACTTCACATCTACAACGAAAAAAAACATCCAGGGAAACTGCCCAAGCATATGAAGGAAACAGTGAAGCAGTACCACATGAGAAGTGCTGCCAGATACACAAAGCAAACACAAGAAACAAGATAAAAAAAGAAAACTCCTTGTAATGTCCTTCAGTTGTCTTATCTGCCACTACTGGAAATTTTCTATATAAGCTGCCTTTGGCTGGGAAAACATGATTTCAAGGTGGTGGTACGAGACCTGGGCACATTTAACCCATAGAAACGTTCATCTTGTGCACAGAGGATTGCAGTTAAGAGTCGCTTAAAAAAATCAAAGGGATAGTGATGCCCACTTTCCAGCCTTGTGCCCACCTGCATGTGAATACTACCTCGGGCTTCTTTAAAGTTCCTCTTTTGTACCTGTTAGTTTTCCAGGTGTGCACTGGTCCCTGGTTCAATGTTAGAAACCAATTAGAAAGGGTGCCGCACAAAGCAGGGTGCAGCAAGCGCTGGACCTCACACAGGCTCCCCGCAGCACCACCTGCTCAGCCGAGACGCGCCCGAAGGCTTGGCCCCTGTCCCCCAGCGACGCGGTGGGTCCCGGACAAGGCAG